TTAAAATATAAAGTTTATAAAATAAGGGTCAAGAGCCCAACTAAAGCAAACACTCATCTCCATAACGGTGGCTTACAATTTTAGATTTTCTCCTTGTGATTCTGCTTTAGGTGTCTTCAATGATGCTCAATCATCACTCAATTAATCACTTAATTATCTCATTAACTTTAACACTCTTGAGTGTATACTCCTGTATCCCAGGAGTGTTAAATTAACACTGACTGGGTTTTTGCTGTGACGAAGAGCTGTAGTTAGCTGACAAGCTGAGCCATAGTGCATTAAAAATCAGGTGATATCACCAAGCATTCAATTACATGAAAAACATTACCATTAATAAGTGATCAGATCTTCTGAACTGAGATTCTCTTGGACTCCTACCATAACAAATATGTATCAATTATGACACTCAGTTAAAGCAACCAGAGAAATAGTAATGTTAAAAGCAAAGGGTCAAGAGCCCCACTAAAGCAAACACTGATCTCCATCTTGGTGACATCAACCTTTATTATTTTACATAAAAAATCAACTTCTAAACATCTGTCTCAGTAAGAATGTTAGTATGCAATAAATAAAGTCTGGATTGTTTCTGTATGGTGTGTTTTGTGGGTCACCATTGTGTTGAAGAGTAGAGCCTGTGCTTCAGTTCAGGATGAACAGAATAAAACTGATGAAATGCTGCATGTTCCTTTATTTAACTGACAGTAACTGTGTAGTTGCTGATGCAGTGATGTATAGTGACAGTAAATCATACATCACCTACATGTTTCTTAATAAAACATTCAGGAAATATGTGAAATAATTGTTAAATAACTGTTCTGTTAAAGAGCTTACTGAAGATTTCTACTTTTGCATTTATTTAAATTAGGCTATTTTACATTCATTTTATGTTTTTTGTATGGCAGCCATTGCTGACAGTCATTGACTGTTTTTTACTATGAAGGTATTTGATGATAATAATGCATTGTTTTTACAGTTAGAGTGTTTGATCGTAATAATCCAGATAATAGCTGTAAAATAACAGTGTTTTTCTGTAAAACAACTTAATTTAAATTACGATATTTTACTTTATTTTTACGGTATTTGTTTGGCACCCTTTGCTGCCAGTTATTTGACCCTTTTTATGATTTTATTTTTTACAGTGCATGTCTATCTCTTCCATTAAAATCTCTTCCATTATCCATTAAAATATAAATCAATTAAAAATACTATTTGGCCAGTGGAAAAGATTGAGAAAAACTTTCTCTGAAATGTATTTAACACTATTTGATTTATTCATTCAAAAACAAGGCAAGGATATAGGCTACAAAAAAAAAATGTTTGTAATAATGTGACGGCACATCCGCATTTCATATTTTCCTAACGTCTTGTACCGTTAAACTTGGTATCACGTGGATGAATAATCATATGCAAATTATATGCAGATGAGGATATGCATAGTAAAACTAGGCGTTGTAATCTCCATATATGGTTATTTCGGGGAGGAGACGCACGTGCGCATAATCTCCCGCTGACTGGGATTTATAAAGTGAATTCTGCGCAGGTTCTGGCTTACGAACGGTTTTATAAATCTGAAAACTTTTGTGCGTACGCAAATTCTGCCTTATGTGCGTACGCACACTTTAAGGATGAAATCTACGCAAAGTTTTATGCATGAGGCCCCTGGTGTTTTCTCCTAAATAAAAGCTCAAGGGTTTATTTCTTGCAAGTGAAGAAATTAGGACAAAAGTATTTTAATTTTCCTATATTATAGTGTAATGTAGGTTAAAATCTACTTTTGAAAAACTCATTTTCATTTACATTTATAGGCTAAATGGATTTTACAGTATGTCATAGGAATAATTATAAATCATTATTTCATTATTATAATAATTGTTTGGCATCCTAAAACACCATTGATAATGTAATGCAGACTGAGACTCTCATAACTAAAAAGATGTTTAAGCCCTCTTTATTGTCCTGGTACAAATTAATACTTTTTCTTTGTTCAACGAGCAGTTCATGGGTTGAAGCTCTTAATTGTAATCCCTTAGAGAGCACGAGATTGATGCATTTAACCTTAAAATGTCCAAAATTTTATTGCGGGGGAGCATGCCCCCCAACCCCCCTAGAGGCACAGAGTCCACCCAACATAGTTTTAGAAATTCCTATGGGAAAGAACGACCATTCATGATCTTTACTCCAGCATAGTACAACAAAGTTCCTTTTAAATCAGTAAAACTGTAAATGCTATCAGCTATTAAAATCGTGCCGGCGACGAGGGCCGGTGGTCTACGAAATTTCCAGGTAGATTTTTTGGTCCCACTCCGCCCCTGCTCTCTGTTAATATTGAAAAACATGATCAAAATCGACAAAAAGCTTACTTCTTTCACAATTGTAATTTCAGAGTCAGAACTGTTTCCAAAATCTTCTTGAGCAGATCGAGAACATTACATCTCAAGTGCTCTCTGTGACTGTAAGTCTTCAAGAGAAAAATAATCAAATAATTTAACATTTGTTAGTTATAAACTGTTGATAATGACTGACAAAACAGTGCTGTCTTATTTGCTTTTTTTTTTACATTTACTTTGACACTATTCATCTGATTAATAAATTAGACTGTGACCAACATTTTGATGGTGGCCTTCAACGCTTCAGGGAAGATCTTAGAGTCATCTTCATCATCAGTCAGCCCGGCTGAACTCGCCTCCTATGGAAACCTTATCTTAAAAACCTGTGAGAAACTCATCTCTACATTGGTGAAGCCGACAGACACGAGTGACAATATCAGTTTTACTCTTTCACCCGTAGGTAAGTGGAGAAACTGTTGAGAAATTAATGATGATGAAAAACTGAGATTGTAAATGATATCAGGATGTTTATATAGTCTAGAAAGCAGAGGTGGATCACAGGTGTCAGACGGTGATGATGATAAATCCAGCTGCAGTAACTATATAATGTGAAGAATTACAAATGTTTTAAAAGACAAAAGAAAATACTGTCCATATATTTTGTTGTTGATGTCGAAGGTTGGTATTTTGGTGCAAAGTCATTCATCATTTGGTAGAATGCTCTTTAGATTAGACAGATGACTGATGGACAGGTTTCCAGTCAATTAATCTCACAGTGATCTAAAAGTGTACCGTCACAGTGTCCTCACTGTGTGCTCATACTGTGGTCACTAGGGCTGGGCGATATATCGCATCACATTGTTATGCAAATCTTGTCAGTAAAGCCGGTTCCTTGATTAGTAGTAAATCACCTTCACCTGTTTTCAGATGGAGCGGCATTTACCACAATGAGCCGTAGTTAACTGACAAGCTGAGCCATATCACATTAATATCGCGGACGTATAATTAATGGTGAAATGGCTTCATCACAGAAAAAACAGCGTTTAATTAACACTCCTGGGAGTGTATATGAGTCCACACTCAAGAGTGTTAAAGTTAATAAGATAATTAAGTGATTAATTGAGTGATGATTGAGCATTATTGAAGACACCTAAAGCAGAATCACTGAAGGGGAAAATCTAAAATTTGTAAGCCACCGTTATGGCGATCATTGTTTGCTTTAGTTGGGCTCTTGACTCTTATATTATTAACTTTAGATTTTTTTGGCTGTTGTTTCTGAGTTAAAACTGCCCAGATGAACATAAAAAGGTTGATGTTGATGGTTAAATTATGAAAATCATCATATGAACTTTATGTTTGTGATTTATGCTGTTGGTTACAGCATAACTATTATTCTGCATAAATATTCAGAATGTTTGATATAATATAAAGGATTTCTTAAAAGTAAAAATAAAATCTTTGATTTAGGCAAGATTTGTTCAATGTTCACTTTGATCTATTTCAAGATTCAGTCAATGCATCTCAACAATGGTGACGAGCAGAATATTCAATTAGGAAAAGTAAATTACATAGACAATTCAGATCATAATTTATTCATACCGCAATGCATGATGAGAGCCATTAATGAATTGTGATCAGTGGCGCAAGAAAAATATAAAAAAATTTAAAAATAGTCTTTCTACAAAACAAAACTCAATGAAGTGAGTGGTTAAAATCATGTCTTACCCCCTTGATATCTTTCATGATCCATCATATTTTTCTCATGCTGCATGCTCACTTTCATAATCAACATTGATTAAATAAAAAATAACATTAGTCTATAATATTTAATCCTAAATATGATACTAAATATATATTTAATTTAATGGCTACAACACATAACCTATACAATACAGACAAATTTCATGTTTTTTTTTCATAATGATGTCATATTTTTCAACCCAGCCCTCAGCCCATTAATTTTTTCCAGACCAGCGCATGAAACAGCTTCCCACACGCCTCGTTGTGATCATTAATGTGGTGGCATCCACTGCCACGTGGATTACTATTGTCACCATTGTTGAGATTCACAGGCTGATTATTGATGTCTGTGTTTCTAAATAAATTTATCTGGAAGTGTTTTGATCAGAACGATGTTTATTAAATATTTTGGATTATAAAAAGAAAAATACTGATAACCATATGCTATAGAATCACAAATCTGTTGCGAACAAGTTAAACCACATCATATCACTAAATTTCATTTTTCTGATCACGGCATGATCATGCCAAAACATAACCAACACTATCAAATCATACTTTTCTTTGTTCATTTGACTGTGATAAATTTGTACCACCAGACAAACAAATATAAAGTGAAAGTATAAGGGTCAAGAGTCCAACTAAACCAAACACTGATCGCCATAAAAGTGGCTTACAATTTGTGATTTTCTCCTTCAGTGATTCTGCTTGTTAACATCAGTTGTCTTTAATAATGGTCAATCATCACTAAATGAATCACTTAATTATCTCAATAAAATGAACACTATTGAGTGTCATATCTGCATCATATGTTCCATCTGAAAGCAGGTGAAGGTGATTTACTACTGGAGGAACTGGCTTTACTGATGAGATGCGCAGAACAATGTCATGCAATATATTGCCCAGCCCTAATGGTCACAATGTGAGGTCGCGATGGATAGGACCATTGGTGTGAGAGACCCGGGTTTGAATCCATTTTGAGACACAAATGTGTCACTGAGCAAGACACTTAAACCCTAGTTGCTCCAGAGGCATGTCACCTCTTACATATGTAGCAACTGTAAAACGCTTTGAATAAAAGCGTCAGCTAAAATGAATAAATGTAAATGAAAGCATGAAGCTTTTGATTATCAACATTGTTAAGATTCATACACGGATTCTTGCTGTCTCTTTGTCTCTATATGACAGTTTGTGTCCCTTATTTAACACACCTGATTCAGATTCTCAGCACGTTAGGATAGACTCTATGACAGGGGTCCTAAACTCTGGCCCGTGAAATCCACTTTTCAGTTTACCTACAACCCTAATCAAACTCACCTGAACAAGCTAATCAATGTCTTCATGATTACTACACCTTATGCCATGTTCAGACTGCACGATTTTCAAAGCAGTCAGGTCTCTGTTCTTTTCACACTGCATGACTATCTTGGCCAGCATTCAGTCACTGCTGTGTTCACACTGCACGATGGACTGGCGACAGACAATGGTGGAATGTAACGAAGTACAAATACTTTGTTACTTTACTTAAGTACATTGTTCATGTATCTTTACTTTACTTAAGTAGAATAAATAGTGCATACTTTTTACTTTTACTTCGTTAGATTTTGCAGCAATTATTATACTTTCTACTCCACCACATTTCTACAACTTCTGTTACTTTTTCATTACATTTTCTAATCAGTTTTTCCCCTGCCAAAACGTAATCTGACCATCCGTTCGTTGCACGTTTGTCTCACCAGTGACGTTTGGTTGCCATAGATATATCAACCCGGTCACACTAAATGTGTCTCGCACACAGTGTGTTTATCATGCAATTTATACGCAAAAAAAATTGTTATGTGCATAGGAAACGCACCGTGTGTAATTGGCCTATACATTTGGTTAGGATTAGCCTATGGCAAGCCAAGAGGTTCAGAATTATACCATAAATTAATCGCATTTACTGCCAAAGATGGTTATTAATATATAGTAAGGATAAGCATGATGTGTAGCTATATTGTCTAATTGCAAGCTTGTTTCATCTCGTTTTCGAGAGGGTCCTCGATTCTAGATTCAAATAAAAAATTGACCTTACAGCAGCTGGAATTTAACATAACAAATAGCAAAAACCAGAAAAACAAATACACAAGAAAAACAAACAAACAAACAAAACAAAACAAAAAAAGTTGTTTGTTTAAACAAAAAATTTAAACATGCTTTACAGTAGTACTATATAGCTAAATATATAAGCCAAAACAAAACAAGACATTCATTAATACAAGACAAAATCAATATATTACGTAACTGTTTGTTTTTATCAGAGGTTGAAGTCTTCATAGTTGGACGCAATGTCACCTTAGATAAAATCCCTCGACTTGACACAACGAATTCGTCTGTGGACATTGATCTCATTGGGATCGCCAAGAACAACAATGAAACAAGTATGTGAGATGTTTCTGTAGGATTAAAAAATATTAAAATGAGATATACTTTTTCCAACAAGCCATATTTGTATTTTTATTTATTTTTATTGTTTGTGTGTTGTATTGTTGTAGTATTGCACGTAAGCTTCTGTTTCTGTCACACAGGATCAGCTGCTGTGGCTTTCATGAGTTATAACACAATGGAGAATCTACTGAAGCCAGACTTCTTCAACACATTAAATAACACTGTTAAAACCATGATGTCCACTGTGATCTCAGCTACTCTTCCCAAAACCACCAACACTAAACTCACCAAACCAGTCAACTTCACCTTCAAGCACATCAGAGTGAGGGACCGAAATGTCTTTTTGTCCAACTTGAGAACTGATGAAAATCTGAAAACATCTAATATTCAGTGTAATAATATGTTCTGCATGTTCTTTCTTCTTTTTGCAGGAGTTTGACCCCAACGGTTCTCTGTCCTGTGTGTACTGGAATATCAGTGAGTGGATTGTAGATGGTTGTTCTGTTTTAGAGACCAACAGCAACTACACTGTGTGTTCCTGTGTTCATCTGTCCACATTCGCTCTCATCATGCAAACCAGCCGCCCATCAGAGGTACGAGAACATCAGTGAGGACTGAAGAACAGCACAGATTTAGCACTCATGTTCTCTGACATGTTTTCTCAGCGTGACTCACTGCTGGAGCTGTTGAATTTGGTGTGTGTGCCCGTGGGTCTGGTGTTCTTCAGTTTGGCCCTGTTGACCTTTGCCTTTTGTCAGTGGAGTCCTGGAGTAAATAATGTAGCTCGAATCAACCTCTGCATCAGTCTTCTGTCGGCTCACCTTCTGTTCCTGCTCACACAACAGTTCCTGAGACTCATACGCCCTCATCAGGTGAGAATGATGAAGGAGCTCTACAGCTCAGCTCAGTCTCACTGAGAATCATCATAACCATCTCTCATGATCTCCAGGTGTTGTGTGCCGTGATATCAGGAGCGCTGCACTTCCTCTTTCTCTCCGGCTTTGTGTGGATGTTCATTGAAGCTGTGCTGCTCTTCATCTGTGTGAAGAACCTATCACAGATCAGCTCCAAAAAGAGGGAGGTGCTTAGCAGTGGATTCCTGTGTGTGATTGGATATACGGTTGCTCTGGTTGTAGTGTCCGTGTCTGTCGGGCTGCTTCCTGAAGGATACGGCAGTGAACAGTGAGTTGTTTTTTTTTTTTTTGTAAGTTAATTGGATTAGAAGGGAAAAAGCAGCTTTGGGAAACAACTATAACTGACTTCCAGCCAGATATAAAGAGGGTGCAGTGGATAAGACACATGCCTTTGGTGTGAGAGACCTGGGTTCGAATGTGTCCCTGAGCAAGACACTTAACCCCTAGTTGCTCCAGAGGCATGCAACCTCTGACATATATAGCAATAAATGTAAATATATAAATGTAAATGTAAATAAAGTTGTTACAGTCAATCACCCTGCATGTAGCCCAAGGCTGGTTGCCCACTGAAGCTAAGCAGGATTGAGTCTGGTCAGTATCTGGATGGAAGACTCCATAGGAAAACCAGGTCGCTGTTGGAAGAGGTGTTAGTGAGGCCAGGAGGGGGCACCGTCTGTGTGGGTAGTGACAGGGATGGCCAATCCCAGTCCTAGAGGGCCACTGTCCTGCAGAGTTTAACTTCAACCAGAGTTAAGTAGAGTTAGAAAGTAGAAATCCTGCCATGTGTTAATTCCAGCCATGAATTGATTGACAGTTGATTTTAGCTGATATCTGTCTCCTGACTGAAAACTGCTAATAAGCAAATCCAGGTGATTGGAACAAAATACTGAGGAGGACTTTTACTTTCTGAACCTGGAATTTACTCCACTGAAGAGAACAGAAAATGAGACGAGCAGGGACCATACAATGCAAATGAAAAAATGAAAAAAAAAAAAGAGACAGACATTCATTTTTCATGTTTTTCCATTTACATTATCAATGGATAGTTAACCTGTTCTCCCTTTTTTCAGTTTTACTTATTTCAATATTATTTAAACAAACATTTGAATAAATAAAATCTAACTGATTTTCTAATTTTCATCTTGTAATTTGCGCCGTGGGCGGTACCATTAGCACGGGGGTGTGGCCGTGGACTAACTTAACTTATTTCATTGATGCAACTGCTTTATTTACACTGCATGCACGTTGAGGAGAAGTTTAAAACAACACAGGATGAAATTTTTCACCCGAAGTGACAGTTTGATAATTTAATATTGTATTGATAATAACTGCACTGTTAACCCTTACTGTAAGAAAAAGGCCAAATTTTGACAATATCAAGCCATTTTCCATTAAAAATTGTTGCCAGTTTAACATACAGGTAGATGGTGAAACCTGCAGGGCATTTCTGCCTGTCGCACCTCCACCGGTGCCTAAGAGATTGAGGTGTACTGCAGGTGTACATGCTGTGGAACACTACAAAGGGCATTAATGGGTCATCAGCTGGGGACCACCAGTCACGGATGTTTCGCTCCTTTAACCCCAGTACATCTCATGGTGGCGGAGCGATGGCAGGGATTTCTCCCTGCCACCACCTGCTGATGCCCTAGATGGAGACTGGACCCCAATTCTTTGCCTTCCTTCTCAGCCACAGCCAGTAACTTCCTCTTTCAGCTTCTTCTGCCAGCTCTTTCATGGCTTTCCGGTGCCTTATACCTGTTGCACCCATGTCGCGGAGCAGACGAGAGGTTGAGGAGCCCACGAACCCCCGGCACCCCACCTCCACAGGGTATGTGACTGCCCTCCAACCAGCCTCCCTGCACTCTGCAGCCAGATCAGAGTATTTTGCCAGCTTCCGCTCATGGGCAGCTTCAAGTCCTCCTTCCCATGGGACTGTGAGCTCCACCATCAGGACCACCTTGCAAGCAGCAGACCACAGCACCAGATCTGGACGCAACGACGTTTCCACTATCTCCCTGGGAAACTGGAGCTGTTTCCCAAGGTCGACTGCTAGTGTCCACCCCTTGCCCGGTGTAAGGAGTCTTCCTGTGTCCTTCCGGTGGTGGGTGTTACCCCTCTCCCCAGCCCTCGCGAACTGGATGGAATGTGCGATTAGGGCCGGGGGCCTGCTATTCGCTTCCTGCCTACATGTTTCCACTACCTCAGCGAGCTTCTTCAGCACCAGGTCGTGCCTCCACCTGTAGCGCCCCTGTGCCAACGCTGTTTTGCAGCCAGACATGATGTGTTGGAAGCTCGCATTAGCAGTGCTGCACAGGAGGCAAGATTCCTCATTGCCGAACCATCGGTGGAGGTTGCGGGGGCAAGGTAAGGTGTCATATGCTGCTCTGACAAGAAAACTTAGCCTGGCCTGAGGAATCTTCCATACATCAGACCAAGCCAGCTGCCTGTCTAGAACGCCTTCCCAGTATCTTACTGTAAATAAAACTGGTACGGCCTGCGTTCACACCAAACGCGAATATAATGTCAAATTCACGTTTATCGCGTCTAGTTGGACGCTTGAACATTTTGAATGCATTCGCGCATAGTGAATTGGACGCGTAAAAAGCAAAAAAGGAAGCGTAATTGACGCGCGTCTGAGGCGATATACGCTTCTTGTGGGAAGGGCAAGTGCTATGTTGATCGAGCATTCATCAAGAGAGTTACCGCTCTGTGGAGTAGAACACCGGTATAGGGTGTTCTGCTTGTGTCCACCGACCTGGTGTTCCCAGTTTGGCGAGTTTCACCATTTGCTCGCTCCAGGATCTGCGTGAATGGCCGCTTTCAGCTTCCGCCCTTCCCGCGGCCAGTTTGATGGCCTGTTGTCCCACATTGGAGTGAGGATCGCCCTCACCCTCATCCACCTTATCTGTCATTTATTTTTGTTTTGATGATAAATGGAGCCAGCCTCCAAAAGTGATGTCACCTGTCCTGAGATTTTTTTTTCCTCACACACACTAAAGTGCATAAGAACTATATTGTTAATGCACTTTAGTTGGTTGTTACATTATAATAAGGTTTCATAAATCTAGATATGGAATAAAACGCATTACAAAATGAATATGCCTCATACTGCGGGTTATCGAGCCTTTATCCTATCCTGTGATCATCACAAATATTTTTTTTTATTACACTAGGCTATTTTGCTTTAAGATAATGATTTTACTTTCAACCTTTTTTGGCATAGTTTACTGTAGGAAGTATTATTTCACATGACTTTAATTTTACTTTAATGACTGTGTCATTTCCGGATACTTTTCAGTATTTCTATTCATTAAAAATGAACAAGTTCTGATTTGCATATGGGCTTACTGCACTAATATATATATGCTCCATCTTTTAAACTTCTCCTCAACGTGCATGCAGTGTAAATAAAGCAGTCGCATCAATTAAATGATTGGAAGTTAGTACACGGCCACACCCCCGTGCAAATGGTACCGCCCACGGTGCAAATTACAAGACAAAAATTAGAAAATCAGTTAGATTCCATATATTCAAATGTTTGTTTCTGAAGTCACAATTTAGCACAAGTAAAATTGAAAAAAGGGAGAAAAAGTTAACTATCCATTGATAATGTAACTGGAAAAACAAGAAAAATTAATTCATTTCATTTTTGCATTTGCATTGTATGGTCCGAAAATTTAATTGTGAAGCGTTACACAGACCAAGCAGAAATACAAGAACTACAGCTGACTTCAGACACAGTCTTAGATGAAATTAACTGATGAGAAGACATTAAATCTGAAGATCTCAGCAGAAGAGGATTAAACAACTTCACAAACAGCATTACCAGCTTCACTTATTACTAACCAGACTGACTTTTTTCTGTCACACGTCTACAGAAGTTCTTGAGAAGTGAGAATTGTGAGAATTAGCTTATTGAGGTTTAACTCGGTTTCATTTGAAGTCACCATAACAGTGATTAGAGTTTCCATTAGCCGGGCTCTTTACTCTTATTATATATTAGATCTCTTTGGACTGCTTTGACACTGTGTTTGTCAAACACATTTACAGTAACAAAGTCAGACGGGATCAGGTGATGAAGTTTACCTGGTGATGGTTTTGTAATTATCATGAAAAGGCCTGATTCACTGATATATTTGAAATGAATAATTATTTTTTCAAATTATTTTCACAAAACAAAACCTGTAACTGCATCAAGAGATCCAGCAACATTATAACAATAAGTTAGTAGATTTTAACAAACACAAAAAACAAAAAAGAGAACAAAAAAGTCTATTTATGATGATACACACAGACATCAACAATCAACATATGAATCTCAACGATGGTGACAAAAAGATGACATCTGAACATAAGCTCATTATTTATTCATTAAGCAATGCATGACGGGAGCCATGAATGAGATTTGATCGATGGCATCCAGAATACACTGCTAAATGCTTTATATTTGTCACCATTGTTGAGATTCACAGTGTGATATTGGATGTCTGTGTACGATGTTCATAATTTTGTCATACCCTATTTTTTAAGAAGTTTCTTATTTTATTTTTTATTGATTTGATCATTTAGATTTCATTGAAAAGGTTAAAAATATAATTTTCTACAATGACAGTGCTGCTTAAATCCATAAGGTAAACTTAACTCAGAAATACGTTTCAAGCCTTTTTGTGTTGAGTGCCTAAGGGCCAATGACTGTGATATATTGATTATGTTAAAACACAACCAACACCATCAGATCACCTTTTCTATTTGATAATCTGACTGTTATAACTCTGATACAGTAGCCAAACAAAATCTTAAGGTAATGATGTGAGGGTGAAGAGACCAATTAAAATAAACACTGATCACCAAAATGGTGATTTTAAATTTTGGTTTACGCCATCAGTGATTCTGCTTGTATTCGATTCAATAATGCTCAATCATCACTCAATTATTCACTTAATTATATCATTAATTTTAATACTGCTTCAACGTAACCCAGTTATGTGCTTGTTGATATAAAAAAGTTAATTAAAGCCAACATATCAATTATTTGAATGTGTGGAATTTTAACGAACAAATTATGTTTGTTTAACGTAACCGAGTTATGTTGAACCTGTTTTGACATAAAAAAAGTCAATTTATGGAACCTGTTGACAAAGTTTTGAGTGTTTTTGGCAATCATTTAGTTATCATATTGTGTTTCCTCTAAACAGCTGCTGGATTAAAATGGATAAAGGTTTTATCTGGAGTTTTCTGGGTCCTGTTTGTGTCATACTAGCAGTAAGCACATTTCTTTTTTCTCATGATTTTAATTAATATTAAAGGGAAAACAAGGCGATTAATTATTCTTTTGTACTTTTCAGTTAAACATGATTCTCCTCATCAACATCATCATCAATCTGAACTCAACTCTCAAAAATCTGAACGCTAAAGTTTCACAGATGAAACAATCAAAGTAACAAACATTATGATTTTGCATACTCCTTAGAAAAAATGTGTGTGTGTGTGTGTGTGTGTGTGTGTATGTGTATGTATGTATGCCTGTGTATTTATATATATATATATATATATATATATATATATATATATATATATATATATTTGACTCTCTCTGTTTTTCCTGTAGGATTAGGACATTTAAAACACTGGCTCAGTTTGTGATTCTTGGTTGCTCCTGGATTCTGGGTTTCTTCACTAATGACAGGAAGGAGCTGGAGATCATCTTCCTGATCTTGAACTCCCAGCAGGGAACCTTCATCTTCCTGGTCTATTGTGTCCTCAATAATGAGGTCAGATATCACTCAATTTACCACCATATTCCATGTCACAACATATAAAAGACCATGTTACAGTTGTTTTCATGCAGGTCCTGTTCTTGTTTTGGCAGTCCATGACTTTTAGAGGGAAATGTCAGAGGCAGTTGTTTGATCTGTTACTATTTCTCCATTTTCTTTCTGTGAAGGAATGTTTAAATGATCCAAAACTGTCAGAATATAAATACAGAATGTGATTGATTTCTGTCTGTCTTCATGCATTTGCAAGTTTTTAAACTACTTCAAACTTCAGTGTTTAAAATAGTTTTTGTCCCCTGTAATTAGTTCAGCCAATTTATCATCACACTCCATAGGAAAACTGACAATATATAAAGTATCTATTTACTTCTGAAAATGCAAATCTAGTCTCTTTAAACATGTTTTCTTTTGTGTTTATTACAAGGAAATTCCATTGTGGTTCATGAGTTTCAAGGGCCGTACACACTGGGACGAATATTTACCAGCGTTTTTCAACGTGTTTTTTTGTGTTCACACCCAAGCGATTTTCACTGACGAGTGTCGAGTGAACATGCAAATTCATTCCCTGACATTAGATGGCGCCCATTTGCTCTGCAATACCACTTCAGAACAGTTCTCTCTTACCAAGATTTTTGTATTCGTTGTCGCGTTTGTCATGTAGTTTTTATGTTCCGACACCAACAAGACAAGCAGATCTACATTCATCTTCCTCGTCTTATTTCTTCCGGGCAGACACTACTTGGCGTATTTTTTCTTTGCCGTTACGTGTGCTCGACAAGACTGTTTTGTGTTTGAGCGCTCCCAACTTGTGTTTTGCTGTAACTTCAGAAGCTCCAGACATGTGAACAAAAACATCAATCTCATTGGTCGGATAGTTTTTGATGCGGCGTGTCTTAAATAAAAAAACGAACCCGGGCCATTTGTTTTCAAAATGCTGCTTTTACGCGTGGCGTTTTTTGCCGTTGGTGTGCACACTCACAGTGGCACCCCTTTGTTACTCACGAGGCGTTAAATGTCGGCCCGGTGTGAACAGGCCTTCAGAGGTTAAATTGATGTCATGAAGTCACTCAGCTCCTCTTGTCTCATTCTTGTCCAGGTCAGACAGCAGTACAGGAAGTGCTTCAGACGTCTTTGCTGTGGACTCAAACAAAACTGAGGACCACAGCATCATGATCAGGAAATGAAAAGTGCCATTATTATAGGGGTATTTTATATATCAGAGTGATTGTTTTGGAAATTTTAAATTCATCATAAATTCATAATCTCAACTTGAATTATAGAAAAACATGTTATACGAGTGTCTTATTTTATAGGTGTTTATGGTATTGATGTAATGATCTTACATTTTATTTAGTCTTTTGTAAACAGTAATTTTGTGGTGGAGGGTGAATTATTATTATTTATTTATTTTTTACAGTTTTCTCAGAATAATTAAGCTGAAATATTTTCAAGTAAATGTTGGGCGAAAAAACAACAACCTAAAAACTGTTTTTTATGGTAAGGGAAAATAAGTTATAAAGTTGTAAATTTGTTAATGTTGCAAAATTATATTTTTGTTTGTGAAATTCAGAAAGCTGTTTCTTTTTGTAAGGGCCTAATTTACAGTAAACTACTTTAAATATGTTTCATACTAAATATGTCATAAATGTATTTTCAAGAGGGAGGGCCAGAGGATTTATCGGTATAGTGATATTAATTTAAAAAACAAAGCTATAAAAAATGTATAAAAAAATTAAATGAATGCAGCTAATGTCTCACTCAATCTGTGGCTTGAGTTTTTGTATTAAAACATAAATATAAAAATATTTTTGCTTTTGATCAGGTCACACTCACGCTTTCCTGTATTATTCGAATGCATTTTTGTTACAAAATATCTTAATTAATACAATGATTGTCAAAGTCACCCTCAGCACTACACTTCCCAGTATCATTCCTGTTCACCACCTACACACACACTCCTCCATCACCCACACACACTAACAGGCGTGCACACACACAACCAACGTTATTTCTGTTCGATCATAATTGCTATCTGAAGTTTATATTACTTAAAGGAGTAGTTCACTTCACTTTTAAAAAAAAAACTTTTGCTGATAATTTACTCACCCCCATGTCATCCAAGATGTCCATGCCTTTCTTTCTTCAGTCGAAAAGAAATTAAGGTTTTTGATGAAAACATACCAGGATTTTCTCCATATAATGGACTTCAGTGGTAACCAAACGGTTCAAGGTCCAAATGAGAGTTTCAGTGCAGCTTCAAAGGGCTTTAAACGACACCAGAAAATAACTAAGGGTCTTATCTAGGACCCTTCGAGTCATGACTCGAAAAAAGATTTGTTCACTTCGATGAACGAGTTTGAAAAGGAGAGTCACGAACGCTCATCACAGAACAGGCAAGCATTTGAGCTTATAAAGCTTAAACTTTTTAATTTTTATTTTTTAAATGACTGATTGTTTCACTTGATAAGACCCTTATTCATCGTCTGGTGTCGTTTAAAGCCCTTTGAAGCTGCACTGAAACTCTCATTTGGACCTTGAACTGTTTGTTTCCCACTGAAGTGCATTACATGGAGAAAAATCCTGGAATGTTTTCATCAAAAACCTTAATTTCTTTTCGGCTGAAGAAAGAATGACATGGACATTTTGGATGACATGGGGATGAGTAAATTATCAGCAAAAGTTTTTTTTTTTTTTTGAAGTGAACTACTCCTTTAATGAATTAAAATTGATAAAAAAAAACACAAATTTATTGCAGAATGTCTGTAAAGTGTTTTGAATTATCACTAACCATCCCTTATTTTGTTCAATTATTTGAATGATCAAATACTGATTAACAAAAATGTTTGCATTGTGTTCCCTTTCTAACCAAATGCTATAGTTTGATTGTAATCATAATGCAAAATCTGATACTTATATAATTTTTTTGTTAAAAAAATAAATTGTCTTTTAGAATATCTAAATGTATATCTAAATAAATAAAAAAAACGAATCATGAGAGAAATCATGTCTAAAACAACAACAGGAATCAAAAAGCCTTCCTATGTTATGTAGGAAGCCAATAGGCAGCCTACAGTCTGTACAGGACATTGCACACAAGTAACTATTTTTTAAAGCCACAAGATGGTGCTCTTCTACTTGAACATTTTTTTTTTTATTACAGTTTTTCTCAATTGCTAAAACACAATTTCTGAAACCTTGCTCCATTTTCTGAAAACATTAAACACAAAACCTCATCTTCAAGCACTATTTACAAAACCTCTGACTCCTTGCAAAATGAAACGTTCGCCACAAAACAGTTTTACCTGTGTTCAAAATCAAACACTGCTCTCAAATCATAAACAAAGTGGTCAAAATGTAAAAGAAATGTAATAAGAAATGATAATCTGCAACCGTTATACTATAAATAAAGCAGAACATAAACTGTCTGTCTGTTTAACAATATGTCTATCTATTTGTAAACATCTCATAACAAATAACAACCTGCAATTGTGAATGCTAATTAAAATGACAAAATACAAAAAAGCATAACAATCAATCAATCAAGAAATGATAATCTATAACTGTAAATACTAAACATGATGACAAAAAATAAAGTATAGCCTAACGAAAATAAGCTATCTATCTATCTATCTATCTATCTATCTATCTATCTATCTATCTATCTATCTATCTATCTATCTATCTATCTATCTATCTATCTATCTATCTATCTATCTAAATGTAATAAGAAATGATAATCTGCAACCGTTATACTAAACATACAAATAAAGCAGAATATAAACTGTCTGTCTGTTTAACAATATATCTATCTATTTGTAAATATCTTATAACAAATAACAACCTGCAATTGTGAATGCTAATTAAAATGACAAAATACAAAAAGTATAACAATAAGCAATCAATCAAGAAATGATAATCTTGTATAACTGTAAATATCATCATCATAATCAACCTTTATTTACAGACTCTTGGTCCATTCAGAAGACAAAGACAACACATGCAACAATACATAAATTATTGGGCGGTAATACTCCTAAGCGGTGAGCAGCCGGTATAAGAAGTAGTCGAAGAAGAACATCGTCATCTCAGTTCTCGCGCATGCGCCCATAAGGAAGTAATGGAATAGTCGAATAAAGTCGTTATTTATGTTTTTTTCGCACAAAAAGTAGTCTTGTCGCTTGATAAACTTATAATTGAGCCGCTGTAGGCACATGGAATATTTAAACATTTTCTTTAATGACTTTCTGGGCCGTCAAGAGCCAGTCCCTTAGGCAGTCTATCTAGGACTGATCCAGCTCTCAGATTCAATAAAAAATATCTTTATTTGTGTTCCGAAGATGAACGAAGGTCTTACGGGGTTGGTACAGCATGGGGGTGAGTCATTAATGACTTAATTTTCATTTTTGGGTGAACTAACCCTTTAATATGAGGGAAATAAACATGCATGCGTGACACAAAAAATCTTTAACTTTTAGGTAGCAAAATATTTTTTTTAGATATTTCTACTAGACTAACATCACTCATAAATCCTGAAATTTCACACATCTCTTGAGTTTTATTAAATACCTTTAACTTTTAGGTAGCTAAATATTTTTTAGTAATTCTGTCAATTACACTAAGGTTAGATTTCATTGAAGGTAAATTAGACACTGACGCCCACAGACGTGAAGTGAACGAGACAGAGGCTGTCCGGTAGCCTACTGTCAGAAATAGTTAACTCTGCGGCGATACATGCTCAAAACTAATCATAAAGTCAACCAGGATATATAACACAGCCTACTAGGCCTAACTGTTATATAGTAACAGTTTCAGAATACAATAGCAAACTCACCGTGATTTGGATGTTTGGTGAAGTGCCGCTGCAGTTTTGACGGCTTCATTGCTTCATTGGAGAGTTTTTCACCACAAATTACACACAACGGATTTGACGCCACAGAATCGCCCGTTGTTGTGAATCCATACCATACCTAATGTATGAGGTATCTTATTTAAGATTGAAGCTTGACTTTTTCTTTTTTCTTTCTCTACATTTCAAGTTGGTCATCGCCTTTCCTTTTAACGGAACTGTCCGCAATGAAATTGACTCTGTGCACGAGAAAAATGCTAACTTCCGCCTTGAGGGCGGATGTTGGGTACTTCGGTTCCGGTTGCCGTTGTTTACATCCTACATCAGTGGACCGGCTATCTAAAGCTTAGCTATCTAAATATATTTGTCTAAAACTATGTTCGTTTGTTCATTGTCAAGTCAACCAACACAGTTTTCACTCATATTTGGGTGGAGCCAGGCGCTGCTGCATTGTGAAAAGTAAACGATATTTCACATATTGTCACCGCACCCAAGCAGTCGCTTCACAGAGAGCGTTCCCAGATAGCAAACTGACATTGAATCAACGTGGAAATATGACATTGAAACAACGTTGATCTGACATTGTTTTGCTCATCGAATTAACGTTGATCCAACGTCAGACGCGTCATTCTTTCAAAACTAACGGAAAATCAACTTGAAATCAACGCGTTGTTTCAACGTTATGAAAGCAAACCCATTTTCGATTTCATTTAGCTTTGAAGAATGCCGCGTCTGACGTTGGTTCAACGTTAATTCGATGAGCAAATCAACGTTGTTTCAATGTCATGAGAGACGTCGTTTCCACGTTGATTCAATGTCAGTTTGCTGTCTGGGTTGCGTATCCATGACAACTAGAAGGAAGTTTTTAGGCTACTAATTATTTATTATATTATACCATTTAACCAGGAGAAGCCCCTGGGTTTAGAACCTATTTTGAAAGGGAGACCTGTTTATAAATATGCGTGAACAGCCTAATATGTGTTAAACAGCCTAACTTGTTAACGAACGAACCAACGTCGGATACCTTTACTCCCTGTATGACACTGATCTATGACATTCTATATAGATAGTGGTTGTCAACAACATAGCCTCTGAACATCATAAACAAAACAATGGCCAACACAAACTGTTCTGGAAAATGCACTTTCTAACGCATAATTTCGCATTTTATAATGTATAGAGAGATATAACAGTTACCAAATCGCATAGCTTGAGCACGTAGCATGGCAACATTAATGTCCGAGTGATTCCACGTGTACCGCGTATGTACACGCCGTCAAATGTCCGAGCGAAACAAAACAAAATGTAGATCTACATCTGGGGAGCGATATTTATTTTTTCCTAGGATGGTAGGAGTGACGGGTAGGTTGGGGTTGAGGTAGGTCATATGCTCTATATATATATATATATATATATTTATACATACAATAATAATGTTAAGTCAACGGTATTCATAAACACGCTCAAAAGAGATTATGCGTGTTGATAGCATGCCAAAAATACGTGATACGTGTCATACATACGCAATTTCATGAGATCAGCCTGAGCATGGATGTTGTTGTGACTTAACGTTCCCTTCAAAATGATGCAAATACTGAGAAATGTAATATTTAAACCCCTTCTCTCTTGCTCTGGGGAGCTGGAGGAAAATCATTAGCCAGTCGATGAACATAATCGACTGTAATATTTGGCAAATGTTCAAGACATCTGGAGAAACATACATCCTCTACGTCGTCCATCAGGCTACCGGAAACTAGACACCCCATATCGGTTTCGCAGCCGGAACTAGCATATGCTAACGTGCACATAGTCCATTAGCCATTAAGGTCTGCTGAGCCCGCTCATCTCTCCGCATACTTCTGTCATTTCAACTGCATGCACCCATGCACAC